TACCTTGAACTCTGTTTAAAATTGTTGTATCTCGGTTGTATTCCATAGTACATATCCTCATTAATTAGATATTTCTTAGGGTAGAGATAATCTTAAGTGATAATCTTTGTGACCTATTTTAGAAAGCATTTTATTGGGGTTCTGAGATACTGCTCCTTTTACTAAGTGGGTCCTGAACCCTCAAATATTAAAATAAATTGCAGGCAGAGTACACATATTACCTTTATTGTTGACAGAATTGTCAAGTTGTAGAATTAGCTCTGTTAAAACAAATGGCTTTATGCTGTACACCAGAAATTGGCACATTGTAACTGACTATACTTCAATAAAACAAAACAAAATAAAACAAAACAAAAATGGCTTTGCTAATACTGAACCCTAAAATTAGACAGACTTATCCGCATCAGGACAGCATGGGTCCAGGCTAAATCTCCCATGATGGGGAAGTCAGTGGGACCTTGCATCCTGCGGGCAGTTTGTACATAAAGAAAGAGAAACTCCTTAGTTGGGGGTGGGGGGAGGTCGAGGCTGAAATGCACATGCCCAGTTATTCTTCCCACATTTATCAGTTATCAAGGTTATTGCACCCCCTTGTCCCCCAGACGCTGTGTGAGTAAAGGATTAAAGTGTGGCCAGATGGGTATTTAGGAGAAATTCACTCCTCATTGAAACTAGTGAGGAAAAGATTGTCTTGATAATATACTGGACTAGAACAAAGAGAATCTAGGTTCTGGTTCTAGCTTCCCATTAACTACCTAGCTCCAAACCTTGAATTCTGGTTCTCTATCACACCATACACAGAAAGAAACCCTGTAATGTTGGTGGGTCTGGCATCTCTTTGCTTCTTAACATAATGACAGTTACTGTCATTTGTTGTGCAGTTTTTCCAGGCACTGTGTCAGGGCTCTGTATGCCCTGTCTCACTTAATTCTCTGAAAGTCCCTCACTTTGTAAAGACTCAGAGGGTTAAGAAACAGCTTAAGCTGCACAACTCATAAGTGGCAGATTCAGGATTAAAATTCAAGCTCTTCTGCAGATCACTGCAAATATGTGAATCATGATGCCATACACAACAAAATTCACTTAGTATCTTTCTTTGAGTCTGTAGGACAGAAAGTCTTCCACAGAGTGACTCAAGCTTCCTATGGTATCCAGTTCCTGCAGTACAAAGTAGAGGTATACAATGTGTTCTCTACTCCGAGAGAACAGAGTTCAAAAAACACTGTTACTTACTGAAGATGACTGATAAAAGATGCAGATTGATTAAAAAAAGAAGAGCAGAGTCCATGGTAGTATACTTTGTAATCTCCCATTCTCAGCACCCACAGTCCAGATGAGCAACTGTTCATAGTGAAAAGTTATGATGATGACAGTAATAATTATTTCCATTATCATCACTTTCAAAAGAAAGGATTCTTGATTTAAAATCTTTATTCGTTCTTCCTTAAAAAATAATTCTGGATTTAGAATATTTATTCTTTAGATAAAGAAATTTTAATATCATTCATTTAGATAATAGGATCAAAATGTAAATTTGGAAGTTATATATATATATAACTTCATATATATGTATTTTTTTTAATGGAGATACTAGAGATTGAACCCAGGACATCGTGAATGCTAAGCATGTGCTCAACCACTAGGCTATTACTCTCCTATATATTTCTTAATTAAGGGAATTACTGTGTATTTTTGAATAATATTCCCTTTAACTATGTGAGAACCTGGAGTGAGGGCAGCCAGCAATACCATCATCTAGAGTTTCCAGAACTCCGGACTGTAAGGCACAGAAACAAAGGTAAGATCTGAGCCTGCTTTTCCCTTTGATCTGTCAGTGACCTGACTGTGGAGCCACAGCTCCGTGACTTACTGAGTTTCAACTGTCAATCACATTAAAATAACAGACCGAAAGAACAAGCACAGTGAGTGTAGAGAGTAGTCGAAGAAATAACTTCATTAGCTCTGAGGCAGCGTCTGATCAAGGATTCACTTTCCTTCTGAGTCACTTCTGAAGTGCATCTTGAAACTATGATCTCAGCAGGCACTGATACAGGTGGACACTTCAGCATGGAGAGTACAGTGTTGGTGGTTATGAATAATTACAGAGTTCCATGGTTTCGAAATACTCTCTTGTGATATTGGGAGTGACAATATGGTTAACTGACCTGTCAGGTGAGCCTGCTGCTCATCAAAGGCCTCCTGGCAGGTGAGATCGATTTTCATGAAGTGAACCTTGGGAAACACACTAACTGTATACTGAGAACTTTGATAGGCATTTCCTGCAGAAGTCAAAGAAAAAGACACAATTAAGAAACTCAGTGGAATGGGGGTTTAAAATCTATTAATGTTTGCATTGGGCTTAGAAATGATGTAGCTTTATTTCTTTATCTATCAAAAAATATGGTACATGAAAGAAGGATTCCAAAGGATATTGGCTACTAATTATAGTTTTAAGATAACAGACAGAAACAAGCATGAAGATCATGCAGTTATGTTCAGATCTTTGATAGCATACCAGTTGTAGGAGCTTTATTGATGCTTTAAGATTTCATTATAAAGTAAATTGTTAGTCATCTAAACACAAACTTTAAAGAATATGAATTTAAAAAAAGAATATGAATTGGAACAGAAACTTTAATCATCCTTTAAGTAGATTGTGTGTTAAATTCTAGGGTAGACTTTTGTTTCATTTACAGCATTTAGGATAATAGATGTACATGTGGACATAGTATACTCTTTGCTATGTACTAAAGAGGGAGACATGTGTAAAAGAAAACTTAAATACTTATATTTAGATTGATAAATTTTTACAGCTGTAGAAAGTAATATTTTAAATCTATGTGCAGTGTTTTTTTTAAATAAAAAATTGTGGCCTCCTTTTATTTGAGAGGCAGAAAGTGTTGATCAGCAAGGCAGTGAAATGTATGGGAAAAGAAGTGATTCATTTGTGTATTTTAAGTGCAAATTTAAAAAGAGTTCTGCTGGGTTCTACAAATTAGCTGCCATTGGAGCTACAGACATAGTGTGTAATTTATTAAGCATATTCTGTGGCTAACTGCAATTGAACAGGACAGACATATATGAATCTTCATATTCTATGGTTTTCTTGAAGGCAGTGTGCTATAGAGAACTGATGACTTTTGTTTTGCTATTTAACATTTTTATTAATAGGAGCTTAGACAAGGTTGTTCGTTATATACTCAACAAAGTCATAAGGTGGGACCAACTTTATTTCTCAGTATTGCAATTTTGTTTTGCGTTTAATTTTTAAAATAACTTAGGGAATCAAAGCAGAACTGTTTAGTCTAAAAATCACTTTGCGAATAACCAACTACCATTCCTAAAACTCCTGTAAAGCAAACACAACTTAGATTGTGTTTTTCTAGCATTTTTATTCTTTTCCTATGTATATAGATAGATAACATAGAGGAATGTTTGTTGACATGTGTGTGGTTATATGTAAAATACGTCACATTTTATGTGGACCTATAAAGTGGAAAAGTACAAAGATTTCTCAAGTGCCCCCCCACACTCTTGCTTAATTTTTATGTGTTTATTATATCTTCTATACCATGAGCTTTTGATTTTGGTATAGTCAGATTTACAAATCTTTCATTTTGTAACTATTGCTTATTTGTTTGTTCTTATTTAAGGGAATCTTTCTTATCTACTATGTTTAATCTTCTGTATTGTTTCCCAATTTTTTTCTCTCTGGTGAGCTTATGTTTGCTTTTCTTGGGTCAAAGCAAACTATACCTTTGTTGAAATGTATCTCTTACCCCATCCCTTCCCCTGCCTCATTGAACACTCATCTCCTAGGCACCTCACTATTCAGGCATCACTCCAATGCCATTTCTTTGACCAAGTATGTTCTCTTTCTTCCAGTTGGAGACCATCCTTTGATTTCTTTTAGATTGCACTCAAAATGGTTGAGACAGTATTACATTTGTTTCAATATGTACTTTTCTGAATAGTTCTTGAGAACAAGATCTATAAATCTCGATACCACCCCCCCAAGAGTCTCATTCAACGCCTCGAAGAATAGGTTTTCTATTAAAGTTTGTAAAGAGAAAGACTGTGTGTTTAGTTTAGACAACTGAATACTCAGCTGGGACACACAGTAATTATTTTCAAATACTTGAACACCTGTCCTATGTTAAAGGAATTAAACTGCTCCTAAATGGTCGATGGATGTTAGCTAAGGACAATTAGGTTTTTCTCAATATAAAGGAGAAACTTCCAACAAATAGAATTCTCTGAAATTTGAATGAACTTACAAAGGAGTGACTTTATTGTCCCTAAACATGTTCACACAGAAGCAATATGTTTAGATATTCTATAAGCATTTTCTACATATAGTAGGCCTACTGAATGAATAAATAAGATGGTAGCCCCATCCAAATGCCTCATGAGTTTTAATTTTATTCGTTTACTATTTGATGATCCCTCCCCATCTTTCCAATCTCCAGGTACACACATCTCCAGGGGCCAATGTATTTGATTTTAAAGATAATTTGCTTTTTATTTACAAAAAAGTCTTAGGATAGAGTTTACTTTTACCACTTGATGAATGATTTCATTTTCCTTTTCTTAAAGAACTTTCTAGAGATTAAATCACTTCACAGACAGTTGGATATTAAATTCATTTCCAAAGTCCAAATCTTACCTACAAAATTTGTAAATATGCATATTGTGCGGGGAAATATACCTGCATTTAATATTTTATATAAGTTTTATTAAATGGATTTATTTTATATTTTCCCCAAATTTACCTATGTAAATATCAACCACAGACACTCTAAGAGAAATGTCACTTAATGTGTTAAAAATAGAACAAAACAAAACAAAGTCCTAGGAATTCATAGTCTATCTTCTTTACATTTTTAATTAGGCTACAATCTAAACAGCAGGAAACCAGTGCTTCAAAAATATTACGCATATTGCCCAGAACCCTGATAAAACTTTAGTGAATACGAAATAAAGCAAAATAAAAAGCATGATTTCCCAGTAGAAATGTGTTTATTAGCTGTGAACCAGGACTGTGTCGGCAATCAGGAAGTAACAAATCAGCAGGGGAGAATTACAGCAGAACTGTGAGCATAGATTATTACTCGTGAAGCTTCTGCAACAGCATTTTGTCATTCTTTCAACAAACAATTGTGTTCCTGCTACTTCTGAGGCTGTCTCCTAGGCAATGAGAACAAACGCCAAGTGCCAGCCAATCTTGTGTCTTATGGCTTCATTAGAAGAGAAGATTTGCAGAAGGTCTTCCGATTCTGAACTCTAGTTGGACATTGCTTCTAGCACATCCTTGTCTTCAGGCAGGAGGGGGAGGAAGAACTCGCTCCCCTCACAATGTTTAAGACGATGCTCTCTCTTAGCTTATTAGCAAGATGCTAGTTAGGCATTAACAAAACTATTGGCAAAAAGCAAGGCAATCTTGAAAGAATGTGCTGGAATCATCAGTCAAACCAAGGAGGCTCCACATTTTCAAGAAAGTTCGGGGATAGTCGCATGGCAGAAAAGTGACAGGGACAGCCGAAATAAGAAAGCTGTTCTGTGGCGTATTTCACGTGGAATCTCTTCAGTGTATCCATCGTATTCAGTCTCAGAACCAATACCGCTAACTTCAGGGTTGGACTTCAACACATAAGGCATTACAAGAGCAGCAGAACAAAAGCTAGCAGGTGATAATGGCTGTGATTAATACATCCTGGAGTTATATCTGAGGTTAATGGAACACGATTCTTAAGATACATGCAGTAATTCAATTCAGCCGAATATTAGAGAGGGTGACAACTTGGTCGAATCTGCCCCTTTGGACAATTTCTAGCAGCTATAAATGCAGTAAGTTGATCAATAGCAACTCAGAGGTCTGCAGCCACGACATAAATACCTCAGAGGAGGGAAGGTACTTGGTATACAGCTCAGAGACTGGAAGTTTCTTGAAAAATAGCTCAGAGGCTGATAAGTTGGATATTGGCAATTTCTTCTTAAATAATTTTGGAATCGGCAGCTGTTGGCAATACAAGATGAGGGTGAGAAGCCATTTGGTATGAAGCCAAAATTTTGGTAGCTTCTATACCCCAAGCTACCCAGTGTGTAGTGGTTTAGAAGCTGTAAACTCCTGGATAAGCAGTTAAGTGACCCAGAGTATTTGAAGCCATCGCTGAGGGTCTGGCGGGCTTTGCACGTGCATCGGCTGGGTGTGCTGCAATCGGATACATACCCTTTGGTCTGAGTGCATGGGTTGCAGCTGGGGCTGGGTCCGACATTGGTAGTTTCACAGGCACTGCGTATTTTGCCCACTGCTGCAGAGCTGCAGGGCACACCAGAGTTTGACTGGTCACAGCTTGTGGTGCAGGTCCTGGGCTCACAGCTGGGAGATTCACAGATTGGTGCTTCACCACAGGTTTCTTGGCAGTTATCCAGAAGCCAGAGAGTTCCTTGGTAACAACTAGGCAATCCAAGACCCAAGGGAGGGCTTACATCGCTGGAGCAAAGAGCAACAGAAGGAGTCACTGGGATAATACAGTGGGTTCTGTAGCATATGCCCCTGCAATCCCCAGAATAGCCTGGAAAAGACATGGAGCCAGAATGTGTGCTCAGTGATGCCTGGGAAGGTATGGTGAGGCTGCAGCCTGACGCCCTTTTATATCTTCCCTGGTGATTATCTGCAGCCTCTCCGGACTCTCTTCCTTCTCACTTCCTGGGACAGTAACAGAGCATCATTCCATTAGTGTGTTGTGTAGCTACAGCTGCTGATGTCTTCACACTCATATAAAAATAAGTTTATTTGGCCTCTTCAAAGTATCAATAATTGCCACCTTGACCATCACCTGTCCCTCATCATCCGTAGACCATAGAGTTGGCGAATAGTGATTTCAGTGTTCATGGGCAAACTCGCATCTGTCGATCAGTGGTAAACAAGAGATCATGTGTCTGTGGGCTTCTGCACTATGGCTATTAAAAGGTTAATGAGGGTTCAAGTAAAACAAAGAGGCTGTGCTTTTCCACTCTTTTGACTACTGCAAAATATTGCAGGACTTGATCCTGTATTCTGAAATAAGCTGAATGCTTTGACTGTCTCCACATTGTTGCTCAAAAGAGAGGGTAAGGCACTGAACTATTAAGAGAAAGAATTGCTTCCCCCAGCTGTGTGCTGTACCCTTAACTGCACCAGGCCATGTAGTGGTGACGTCCTCTCACCTGTTTGAAAAATTCAATCCATTCACAGCAATCCCAATGAGACTTCAGTGACCTACACAAGGCCAAAAATGAACTTGTCCGCAGGGGTCAGTGGTTGCTAAGTAACCAAGACTTCCATGAGATCCCTTTCTTAAAGAGTTTCTGCAATATGTAATACCAAAGAATGCTGGTTTTTCAAGACTGTACCTTCCAAACTGACAAAAATTAAACATTACACGTTTCATTGTCTCTGTGGTAAAATGCAGTTGCCGTCAGGTGTGGAACATTTTTCTACAGTTCTCCCCAAATAAGTTTTACTTGTTCTTGATTTGCCTTTTTTTTTTGTATGGACTTCATTCCCATGTTGCAGAATATAGTTATTTTTGGTCTATAACCAGAAAAAGGAATGGCTATCCTTAAAAAATTTTATTTAAATAATCTGTGTAGCTTTTATAGGCACTGTACTTATTAAATAACACTTTTCATTCCTTACGGTGAAGGCTGAAGGAAGTTTTAAAAGATTTTCATTTAAACTAAAGAATGGGCACTTTGTTCTTAAAAATATAAACTATAATTCATACTTACAGCCTCCATTGAATTGGAAACAGCAGTGCATTTATTAACAATGATAAGTTCAGACAGAGGGCAGTACCAACTTCTTCAGGTAGAGAAAGCCAGAGGGATAGTTTTTAAAAGACACTGTCCTCACAGAAGACAATTAAATTTCCCTCCCTGTTCTCTGCTTTTCAGCTAGATTTTTTAAATGCACACCAATTTAAAGTTACAGATATCCTCCAAATATTTTTTTTTAAATCTGAGTTTTCTCAACGCTTCACTCAGTATTTATTTGATAAGGTGATGAATTCATTCCATATGTAACTCTTTGTTAAACACATTTTGCTCTTTTGTGAATTGTCTGTCAGGTGAAAAGGGTCAGGATCAGGGAACCATACTTTCCACAAACTGTTTAGCTCTAGAACATCCTGGGGTTTTGTGCAGAAATGTTCCATCCTAAGGCAGGCAAAGTAGGGAATAAATTACACAAGGCAGTTGATGGCCAACTTTCCACTAAATTACTGACTCCAAGTGATATACAGAAGAGCCCAGAGGCTGATGGAGATTTATTTCTGCATCTCTCTGTCATCCCGTGATTACCTCTAGTCTTATTTTAGGCTTCCTTGTAGCAGATTTGAGGGAAAACAAAAACAAACAGACAAGAAAATAGAATGAGTAAGTCAGTCAGATGTACAGCCCACATACCCCTCTTCCCTTTGCATTACATGGTAGAGTATTTTAAATTAATATCATTCACACCAGTGTAAGTCTGACAAATAATGTAGAATATCACATAGCATAATCAATATTCACAGGATGAGGCTACACCATATTTAAATTTATTTTGGTGCAGTAATATGCTAAACACCTAAATGTTGAGATTTGCAAAGGCAGAGTTCGCTCAATTCCTCTCGTTCTCATTTATATTTTATCTTCTTATTCACTCATCACACTCAGAGGTAACCGTCACTCCCTATTCACTCCCCACTTGCAGGAAACAGTACCTCTACAGAGCTGTCTTCTGCTTTAGTGTCCATCTGGGCAAGAAACTGAGCAGACAGCAGCAGTAACAGCAAACATTAAGCTCATAACACTGATAGTTTTTAGCAGCCAGTACAGACTATTGTCATTTGGGTGGCATTGTCCTCTGAAGGCTTTGATGAAGCACATGCATCACTCTGTATTTGTACAATTACTAAAGAATCTTTCCTTCCATTAATTCTCCTATTTGTAGTATTTTTTACGTGTGGAAAGCTGAATGGAACCCTCCTCCCCACAACCAGTGCCCACTTCCCAATCCCCAGAACCCATGAATGTTATCTTCTGTGGCAAAAGGGACTTTGCAGATGTGAATGAGTGTCTTAAGATGGGTACTCTGGGTGAGCCTGCTGTGATCACTGGAGTCTTATGAGAAGGAACAGTAGATTAGAGCAAGAGAAGCCCATAGAAAGACAGGAGCAGAGACTGGACTGATGCTGCTGTAAGTGAGGGAAGCCAGCAAACTCCAGAAGCTGGAAGAGGCAGGGAATGGATTTTCTTCCAGAGACTCCAGAAAGCATCAGCCCTGTTGACGCCTTGACTTTAGTTCAGTGAAACTGATTTTGAACTTCTGGCCTCCAGAATTGTAAGAGAATAACTCTGTTATATGAAGTGACCGAGTCTGTGGTTGTTACGGAAGCCACAGGAAATTAATATTTTACGTCAGAATTAAATGTACGGAACTCTAATAGATAGTCTTTTTGTAGTTTGAGGAATTTGTGCTCTGTGTTCATGGCAAGTTTAAGGAATAAGCTTTCTACTCATCAGATAATTCAGATTAATGTCCATGCCTTCTGAAAAATTAAGATACAAAATCCCTTTACCTAATGAGGCAGCAGATTTTTTGCAGCTCATTAAAAAAGAGTAATGGAACAGTTTCCCAATTTTTCCCAAAGGTTAAAAATCCTTTAGGGTAAACACGAAAGATCAAAGAAAGCTAAATTTTCCAGTAAATGGCCCTTAAAGAAAATAATGAAGGTCACCTTCCTAGCCTTTTAGGTCATGATGAAATTTTGTCTTCCTCTTTGCCACCATATATATATATATATATATTTGTGTTCTAATTTCACTTGCCAGAGCATTGTTAAATGGATGCAGCAGTGATCCCATGATCTGAAGAAGCAAAATGTATCCAAATTCATATTTACATAGCAATTAAATTCTAAGTATGGGGTCAAAATGATTCTTAAATTTAGCAGTGATAAACTAAAATGGTGTAACCCAGCTACATTTATGTTATTAGCTTCATGTAGATCATTAATAGTTTCAAAAGCTGAAGGGCAGATGAGCAAAATAAAAAATTTAGGGAACAAGAGTAAAGAAAGCTAAAACATTCTTTTTCCTGCTTTCAGGTGTCTTGAAATATATTTAATAGACAAGACTAAAACATGTGGTAAGCAGGATGGGAGACAGAATATTACCAAGTGTACAATGTGTGATCCAGATAATTACATTTTCTTTTTTTCTTTTTTTAATTGAAGTACAATTAATTTACAATATTGTATTAGTTTCAGGTATACAGCAAAGTGATTCAGTTATATATACGTATTTATATATATATGTGTATATATGTATATATACACATTCTTTTTCAGATTATTTTCCATTTTAGATTATTACAAGATATTGAATACAGTTCCCTGTGCAAGTAGGTTTTTGCTGTTTATCTATTTTATATATAGTAGTGTGCACCAGTTAATCTCATACTCCTAATTTATTCAAACTCCTCCCTTTCTCCTTTGGTAACCATAATTTTGTTTTCTATGTTTATGAGTCTGTTTCTGTTTTTGTAAACAAGTTCATTTGTATTATTTTTAGATTCCACATATAAGTGATACCATAAAATATTTATCTTTGTCTGACTTCTCTTCATATGATAATCTCTAGGTCCATCCATGTTGCTGCAAATGGCAATATTTCATTCTTTCTATGGATGAGTAGTATTCCACTGTATGTGTGTATATATATGTGTAAATGTGTGTGTGTATAAATATAAAACACATATTCTTTATCCATTCATCTGTTGATGGGCATTTAGATTGCTTTCGTGTCTTAGCTCTTGTATATAGTGCTGCTGTGAACACTGGGGTACATGTGAAGACAGAGTGTTTTTAAAATGATAACACAAGTGGATAGAAGGACAGGAGAGCAAGTTTGACTTGTGCTTAACTTTTCAGGAAATATGGTATGAATGTAATGAGATACAAGTATAATGTGAGTTAATCATTTTACGATGAAATTGTCATGACTGTGTCTTTATGAGTTATGAATCACCGTCTCACTGAGTACTACTGAAACTTATTTATTGGTATGTGACCCTGGAAAATTATTCTCTCTCAGTATCTCAGTACCTTATTATGTAAAACCAGAGCTAATAGCACCTACTTGGCAGGGTTGTTTTGAGGATGGAATGAGATTAAAAAATGTGAATAGACCTAAGAAAGTACACAACACATAGTAGATACAAATTAAATGTTACTTTTCTTTCTAATTTTCTAAAGCTCTCATTCAGAAAACTTGAGACTAAATAAAAATATTATTATTAATTTACTTTGATGGTTCAGATACACAATCTTGCAACAATCTTCGTCTTCTCTAAAAGTTCTGATGCCAAAAATGAACAGGTCTACTCCATGCGATTAAGAAAAATGCCTTGTTTGACAACAGATCATTAATGACTCCTCTTACCTAACCCGTATTTTTCTGTGCTATGTGTCATTAACTGGCTCCTGGAAGGCTGCATGTGAAGTCGTTAAGAATAAGGGCTCAGTATTCACACTTCCAGGATCCTAATCTTATCTCTGATGCTCATTTGGAGTATCAATTAACCACCAATTGCT